GCTATACATGATGTGAATAAATACCTAGGTACCTCTGATGCACAAGAAACAAGCTGTGCTGTACATTGGTTCTTTAAAATTATGCCTGAAACAGAACCTCATATCCCGATGCTGCTACAAATTCGATTGGCAAACAGAGTCTTACTTCTGTGAAGACTGGGGGCGATGTGAGTGCTGCATCTCGTATTCCAAACACGCTAGCTCGCGACTTCACATGACCCATGGAAGCCGCCCCACCCGCCCCAGCTTACATACAGACCCAGCCACATAACCTCAAACGTGTCAACACGGGTGACCCTACTACAATTCATCATCGTATCTCTCATCATGATATTCCGGATAGCGCCTCTCGTTGCGATTCTCGCGTTTGCGCGATGCGGAGCTGCTGAAGTCGCACCGGAAATTACGACAGTTGCGGAGGGCTACAACGTGATTGCCAAGATCCCATGTGTTGGGTGCCCTTTCCTATACCAAGACACATCAAAAGGCAACGATGCGCCATGGGCTCAGAGAAAAGACGACAACGCTCTGGTAAACCATCTCTAATGTCAAGCAGACCAAATCGCCCGCTAACGTGCCCCAGCTTCTGAACATCTCCCTTCCCTACGACTCAGCGCATCTAAGCATCAACAATGCCCCACTTTTAGGAGACTCAAAGATTCTACCGAAAGTGTACGTTAACCAAGTCTTGTTGGATATGTCGAAAGATGATCTCGGCAAGCTCGTCGCATCTGATCAACTTGACAACGTTGGGGGCGCTTACTTTGGCGCCTCATACGCCTACTCCCTGCGCCACGTCAAAGACTCCAATGCATTAGTGTTGCACTTCGATATCATGCAATTGTGGACGGATCTGACTTTTCCGGATCTCACAATCGTTATGGACAGAAAAGAGCAGAAGATCCTGGAACTCGTCCTTCTGCAGCGTCCCCTGTTGTCCGCGGGTGACCCAGCTAGCGCGTACGAGATTATCCGCGCTGCACTCATCCCGCGCTCACAGTCCAGCATAAACGGCAAGCGCATACAAAAAACGGCAATGTGGTTCCATGATTGGGACGACAATGGCAAGAAGGGTACAGCGACTCATGTTGTCAATTCGGCTTCTGCGTCCTTTGTAACCTGGCTTAGTTCCGGAATCTGGTCCTTGTTCATCTTCATACTCGCAGTCATGGCATTGTTCGTTGTCGTGTGCATGTTTTGCATTTTTGGGTGTGGATGGCACAAAGATGAGTATGAAACAGCACAACACGGAAAGCGCAGCAGTGGGAAGGGTGCTTGGGGTGGAAACGACATTGAGGCCGTGCGGAGGTTCATGACGCCTGAAGAGCTGGGACTCCGAGGCAGTGGAAGGGTTGTGGGGGTTGGGAAAAGCGATTGATGGACTGCGAGATGAAGAGCCATCATCCAGTCCGTGATCCATCCTGATTGACTTCCTTCCTGACCTCGGCTCGATCCTCGTGCATTCGATGCGCGACCACTTTCATTATCATCGTCGTGTTCTTGAAAGTCTCGAAAAATCCTGCTGCAGAGCCCACTTGGCAATGGCACATCATGTTCCCGACCGTTAGTGCGTCACCATCGAGTCCACAAACAAGAACACCCCTGGGCAGATCATCACGCCAGCGAACACATCTCCCGCGCTCACACCCCCACGATGGCACTACCGTGACTGCGACGATCTTCGGCGGTCCAAGCCAAATATCTCAAATAATCGTTCACGCAAAACGAAAAAGCAACCGGCTGCGACGGCCATGTTGCTTCTGCTAGCGACGCGCGACGTCATTCCGCTACTCTCCGCGCGCCGCTAAACGTCATTCACCCAAGCTCATTTCAACGTCGCGACTCGTACCGAACCCGTTCATTGCTCGATTTTCGTGGAGGCCACAGTTAGTCACATGGCTAATTCCAGGCCAGAGGGTTGTTGGTCTCGATGCGCGTCAACGTTGGTAAAGTTTGACAGCAGTTCATCGCAAGGCATCGTCATGGTCTGGGCTCGTGAGGTATGACCGCATAGGTTTGGTTGATATGATAAAGACCCTCAAGTTTGCATGTTGGTAGAGTATCATCAGTATAGTAATCAATTTCATCACTTAATTCACAAGGGTGCTGTCCTGCACACCCACCGAACACGCACAATGGCCATTACCAACACCACCTCCACCGTCCAGGCAATTTTCGCCCTTCATGTCGTTACAGCAGGCGGCTCCATTATCCTCATTCTGGCCGCTCTTGCGTTGTTCGGTCGCCAGCTCGTCGGCGGCCCTGGACGTCCCCGTACATTCAAGAAGTTTAACAGGTCAACTCTGAACAGGCACAGGTACACCAATCCACACCCCTTCTATCCAATGTCAAGTCAACTAACACACAACAGCTCCACTGGCACGCAACTCTTCCTCATCACCGGTCTCACCACCCTGATGATCGCCTACGCCGCACAATCCTCCATCGTGGCCCTCCAATCCCGCCTCCCCTCCCCCTTCTACATCACCTCCGCCTACGCCTACCCCCAATACACTGAACCCTTCGGCAACAACGACTCCATCAAGTATGGAAAGATCATCTCCATCCTCTCCTTCACCTACCAAGGCGCCATGATCATCATGAACGCCTGCATCGTCGGCGCCATCTGGATCCATGCCAACCATGTCCAGAACAACGGCACTGGTATCAAGGAGCCTGGTGTTCTGTCTTGGGCTTTGAACGGCTTCTGGATGCTGGCTATCCTTGCTCTTGGCTTTGCTAGCTGGGCTGTTGGTCTTGCTCGTCGCGGTAGTGGAAACTCTGCGTTGGCGTATCCTAGTTTGATTGCTGTTGACTACATGGTGAGGACGCTTTACGTTGTTTACGTAGCGACCGTCATCGCGGCGTCGACTAGTGCGACTCTCGAGGCGATCCTTTGCTGGATTGGTATCAAGAAGAACGGTGTTGTCGGTGTAAGTTCACTCCTCTCCTCATGCACACAATCATGTACTAACATCGTCTAGAACCGCTCCAAGTCAGCCCTCACCCGCTTCGTCATGCTCGTCACCCCCATCGTCTGGGTCCGCAACGCCTTCTCCATCGCGCAGCTCGTCCTCATCTACCGCAACACAAACAACTACTCGCGCACCACCAACCAGGCCCTCGCCTTCCTCTTCATCATCTTCGGCGAGCTATGCGACCTCGGCATCTTCGCCCTTGTTCTGCTCGGCGCCTGGAGCTTCGGTCGCAAGGATAATCAGAGACCTGAGGTTGTCAAGGAGGCTAGGTACAGCGAGAGCATGAGGGAGAGCGCGTACATTGCCAACCCTAATGCTGCTTATGTTGCTGACCACGATACTGCTTATGTTGATGGACCTGCTGGACCTGCGTTTGAGGCGGGTAGGGGTCCTACTTACATTCCCCATGTTAACTAAGGGAAGAATGATGATGTTATACGATATGTACAAAACGTTGGAAGGAAATGATTTTGAAGCGTTACAAGCGTAGTAGCGAGTCTTTTAGGTACATAATTGTTAATGAATTACACTCTAAAAAGCATCATCCCTGAATCTGCGCATATAGTAGGCTGAACCAGCTGTCCTCCTCCCCTATAGTCTAGAGCAGGCTTCAACAGGTACTCCACTTTCAGACGAAATCAGATGAGTTCGAAAATACGAATTTGTCAGAAGAAGGGCTTTCTGATTTGATTACGACAATACTGTTTGAGCGGGCACGCTTCTTGGCCACACGTTTTCTTGGGACACGGCGGGGCGAGGGAGTACAGTCGCTAATCCTATCCCGTAGATGTTAGCAGATGTAGGTATATAAATAAATAAGCATCTTACCTTTTGGAATTCTCTTTGTAGCAGCACCTGTCTTCATGGCAGTGGTACAAGCAAGGTTCATCTTTCGCACGATTGGAAGGGCCAGAGCCGTTAAGGTGGCAGCGATAAGAATTACCGAGCGAAACCATCGCAACGAATCTGTCGGGAAATAACTGATAGTTGTTGGCCCAGTATTCATAGTCTGTGTTCCAGACAGTGTAGTCTGCGATGAACTTTCGAAGTGGATTGTTGGTATCAGTGCTTTTGAATACGGTTTGGATGATCTCGGAAAGCAGTGTGGCAAAATCGTCGGCGTCGGCTCTGTCTCCCCATTCCATTAGGGAGTCCATGAGTGTGTCCCTATAGTCATCGTCGTCGAGGTGGCATCCAAGAAGGTAGCCCTTGATCAGTTTTCGACCTTCATGAACCACCCTCGAGAGACCTTCAGCTTCCATAAGGACGCGTTCGGTGTACAGCCATTGAACGTAGATCATGAAGTCTTTTGGCTGGTAATCTGTGAGGACGATCGGGCCTTCCTTATTTTCGCTGTCATCCGCTAGCAAGTTCGCATCGATTAGAGCTGAAGATTCTCGGATAAGCTTTGCGTGGACCGTGAAATCTTCGTGATCGGGTTTTATGCCGACGCTGATGGTGACGACGCGGGTTCCCATGCTGGTTCATGTTAGTAGGGTCGATAAAATGCGCGTCTTATACTTACCACAGCAATTTGCTCTCAGGATACAGCGGCATCGTGGCAGTAAAGCGCTTCGCGTGCGAGCGCGGCGACGAGGATATGGCGCAGACGTGTGCAAGTGGAAGACGCGGTGTAAGACAAAAAGGCACGGTGACTGGAAAGGTCTAGAGCTCTAAGAAACATTGGGAAAATCCGAATTAGGCAGCCGCGGGAGGTGAATGACGTAGTGCTGGCCGAGAGTTCATGTGGAAGGGAAGGAGCGACTAGCTTCTCTCACCTCATTCTCACATTTGTATGGTGAACCACTACTGACTTCTCGCTCAAGTATACGATTTTATCACTGCCTGTATCTACAAATTGGGTACAGCATACGTTCCGAATTCCACCCTATGTGTCATGATACGCGTGATATCCTTATGCTTCCATACAACCCACGCTGGGCATTCAGTCACGCCCGAACCTCGTCAGTCGAAGCAGACCGTATACCATTGACGCAGGTCCACAGCTTATAAAGTCCAACCTCAAGCACGTCGCTTTGCGTCTGGTGACTGTGTGTCGTCGGGAGCTGGGCGTTTCGTTGTGGTAGTGCGAGACCTAGACCCTGTCAGCTGTGATTATTGCGTGAGCAGAGGATATTACGTACGTGCCGGCTTTCTTCCTGTAGCAAGGCTTCTCGTCGCCGTGACAATGGTACTTGCAGCTCGTCTGCCAGCCACGCAGTGGTGATACACTAGACCAAGTATCAAGCCTTACAGACATGGCAAGAAGAAGATCCATGATGTAGTCAGAATGCATATTATCTGGATTCATTCCGAGCTTCTTGAGGTGGTATTGTTCAATGCCCCCGGCAACAAGATCTGCGACAAGCTTTCTAGTTGGCGAGCCTTCTGGTGTTTTTTCGTAGAACCTAGAACCGAAACTGGGCGGGAGCGTGATCGACGTTCCCTTAGCCTCGCTAGCGCATTGTAGGAGAATATCGTTGAGAGTGTCTCTAAAATCAGTGTCGATTAAGAAGTGACCCAGATCACATAACCGAGGTAGATGAAGCATTTCCAGATATAAGTTTTTGAGCTCAATCGAACGATCATTCCCATCGGCGGGACCGAATTTGCTGTGAACGACGCCTGTAACAAGCCACTCGAAGTAGATACCGAAGGTGTCTCTGTCGAACTCTGGCAGGGTGATGACACGCTCTTGCGATTCTTGCCACGGTCCTCTCATCGCTGCGTCGACGAACTCGGACGAGGCACGAATGCGGTCCTCAGGAACCAGGAACACGGCCTTGCCTCCATGACCAACTTTGAAGGTGATCATGTTCTTCTTAGTACTGCTCATTGTTAATTCGGTGACGTATGCAACTCTGAATCGTACTTACAAGGCAGCGTCCGCTGCGAAACCCCTCCGTACCATAGTGAGTCCTGTAGCTCACTTACCGTATGCGAATGGTTGTTGGAAAGAGGAAACTGTGTGGTACTAGGAAGTTTGAGAAGTCGGCAGTACAGGTGCCGCAAAGTGAGAGCATGTCGCGCCTTCCGTGGCCACTCACCTCACCAATCATCTCTCACCTCACCACCTGCACCGGCACTATTACGCCTACGACGGACGATCTTTACACGGATGATCAACAATGGATGCATTTCAATACGCTCGCTCGCTAAACCAAACAATAGACACAAGAAATAATAAATCGCTCAACGACAGAAGCGCGCGCCATAACAACGCACACGCTGGGTATCTTACAAACATCCAAAAGGTCATGCCATGCTCGGCCGTATCCAGAAGGAAAGAAAACCTTACCAATCATTCCACGTCTCGAGACCGCATCAAGCGACCTAAAAGCCCTCAAGCATATGCTCCTACCCGGTCGTCGCCATGGAAGAAGCCACTCCCATCGAACCCTTCTTCCTTCGGCGTGGCCCACACTTCTGGCGAGACATCATCGTAGCTCGGCTTGCGGGCCAGGTCTTCAGAGTAGACGCTCGCGTCGTCGTTGGCCCAGCGCTGGTTCCTGTCGTGGCTGGTCTGGCCGTAGACGACATTCCGGTCGTGCGCTGGTGCTCGCGGTGTGGAGCAGCTTATCCGCTGATCGCCTTCACGCGAGATAATCAAGGTGTCGGGCGAAGGAGTAGGATACGATGGCGATGTGGCAGTCGCCGAAACGATGAGCTTGTTCACCAGGGCATGCAAATCCGAGACATCGTGCTGGAGAGTGCGAACCTGCTGTTCCAAGGCCTTCCTCGCGCTCCTCTCGTGTCTGAGCGCCTCATAGACGTTTCGCAGCGCTCGCGCATTCTCCTCGTTGCTTCCAGTGTGAGGAACGGGAGGTGCGGCAAGCGTTGGGGAACCAGGCGCAGGCTCAGGCTCAAGGGTCTCACTACTTGATTGAACGATGAGCTCTTGATGAATGCTCGGTGCTGATCTTGAGTGAGAGCGCGATGCAGATGCGGACGAACTCCGGTTCCTTGATCGCAGGTTGCGAGGTGCGTTTTCGAGGATGATGGTTTGTCGGTTGTTACGGGATGACATTCGGCGGGTGAGTGTTTCGAGATTGGAGTACCTGGATTCAAGATCCTGAACGCGATCCTCAATGGGTATGCGATGTTGGCTCTTCGCTGGTGGCGGAGGCGGCGGCGAAATGCTTCGGACTTGCGGTGATTCTGGGATGGTTTCCTCTTTGGGTCCGAACAACGCATTCTTCAGGTCACCGAAGTTGAAGGCTGAGACCGGGGGCTGAACACTACGTTCTTGCTCGCGGTTTGGCTCTTCCGTAATCGGCGTCGCGGTCTGCGATTCGTCCGCTTGAACGAGCGTCGCGCTCATCTCGTTGAACGACTCGTTGTCTGGTTCTCGGATCATGGGCTCTTGCATCGGCACGGTGCGGACCGTCTCTACAGTCTTCGCTGTTTGCGGTCTACTATAGATGCTGCCGGACATGTAGCTCTCCCTCCAGAACTTGATCTCCGCACTCCTGCCTCTCTCCGTCGAGGCGCGCTCTTTTGCGAGATTATGAAGAGCATCTGCACTTCTTGATCTCCGTCTGTCGTGTTTGGACGTTACTGTTTGAGTCGGACTGGACAGTGCGATACCGATACCGGGTGACATCTCATCTTCTTCAGCCTGTTCGTCCCACGCTGCCAGCTTTTCCCGAGGCTCGTCGAAACTGTGTCGATGAGTAATGGCACTTGGTACAGTGGGCAGCGTGGCTCTTCGGCGACCGAGATCCGGCCTGTCCGTATCGAATGTAAGGTACTCTTTCGGCGGACTTGCCGGCGGCGCATTCACGTTCATGGGGTACGGGAGATGTTGGCCTAGCGGATGTAATGGCTGTAGCTCCTCCACTGGCAGATCAGATATCCGAGGATTGGACGGGGGTGTCCTTGGTTCTCTTGGTGGTGTTGATCTCAGCATGGTAGTATCCTGTTCTTCGTCAGATTTGATTCGTCACACTGTTCTAGAAAGACTTACACTATGGTGGTAGCTGTGGCCACGCTGCATTGGCTCTTCTTCCAGATCGTCCGCTCGGTCCGGGCCTTTTCGCCCGAACATCTTACGGAATACATTTCTGAGGCCGCTCTTGCGCTTGTTCTTCTTCTGTGCAGCTTTACCGGCGCTCTCTGGCGTTGAGCGAAACGGCGACGGGGAAGCGATCGAAGTTGATGGCACAATGCTTTCGCGCTGCCCTTCGTCAAAGTGTCGGACTTTTGGTGGAGATCTCGAGGAAATCGGGCGCTCGGGAACAGCCGAATCGCGCTGCGGCTGCTGCTGCTCTCCCACGGGATTTGATCGCAAGGCTGACATATGCTGTTCAGGCACAGGCGGAGGAGACTGAAGTGGTCTTGGCGGGGTTTGCGGCCTTTCATACTGCTCTTCTGGCGCGTCCTGCGGCTGCAGTGTCCGGTCCAGCGCGCCATTTGCCGCGTACTCCTTCTCTTCCTCTTCATTCAACGGCACATCCTCGGTAATAGGGATCGGCCCGCTAATTTTTAAGTTCCCTCTTCTGATAGCCTCAGCCTTCCAGCTGGAGCGCTCAAGAGGCGAGGGCGAGGGCGTCGACGCACTCATATCGGCGACGACAAAGCCTTCTCTTTGAAGCATATGGATGCTGCGATGTTTTGGATTCCGAGTGTTGGCGAATGCGCTTCTGCGGACGAGTTCTGGAAATTGCGCTTAGGCGAGGTTTACCGGGATGACCCAGCGAGCGTGAGGATCTCGACTACCATCACCGATGTTGCGAAAGCAGTTGATGGATAAGAAGCAAAGCAAAGGCGGACCGGAGCGACAAGCGCGGCAAACGTTCCTCCTCCGAAAATAGATGCAAGGCAAGAATAGGCAATAAGGAATTAACAACGATAGCCCCCAAGACTCGAAAGAAGCGAACTCGATCAGAAAGAGCGACGAGGTTAAACAATAGAGAGACGTGCCACAGACGACGTAACGAGAAGAGCAGCAAAAGAACGGGGGCGGCGCTCTTAGGGTCTATGTATCAGACCGAGAGCGTCATGTACCCTTTGGACAAGGGTGCCAATAGAGTGGGGAGGGTCAGTCGGATGGGGGGCGCGGCGGGAAGGAGGAGGCTATTATTGATGGCGCATTTGCGAATCAAGCAGTATGACCGGCATTACCTTTGACCACAACACAACGGGGGCTGGGGGGCTGCAGCAACAAATAAAGGCCTGATCGCTGCTGCACAAGCGTTGCATGAGAGGCCAACAAGTCGGACCACTGCGCGAACGAACGACGTGCAGGTTGTTGGCGATGGGGCTGTGGGGTTTTGCGTCCAGTACAGCTGCATGTTTTCGCCAAAGCGGACTGTTGCAATCGATACGTTCGTTGGCTGCAGCACGGCACGCGCAGGCGCGCTCGGCCACTGTCCTCTTCAGCCCTTCTGAAACATGCGGCTAACACGTCTTGGACCTCAGCTTCCCTGTCGGCCTCTCAAACTTACCACTCGTCCAGAACCGCCATCTCAAATCCCAGTAAAGCCGTCGCAGAGCTAATCCTTCTGCGTCTACAAATAGCGGCTTGCAGCACTGACCGAGGCGTTCCACGAACCCTCCTCTTGTCGCGTCAGGTCTGAGCGCGCGAGAAGACACGGGGTCGCCAGGACGCATGTCATGTCATGGACCCTCGGCCGTGCAGACTAACAGGAATCCTTGCTCCAGCCTGCATTAACGCGTTTGAGGCTGTCCGCGGACTAACTCCGACGACGGCCTGATTGGAGCTGATTACTCTGGCCCACACCACACCGTCTATCACGACTGTTTGGTACTCTACTGCACGCGTTACTTGTTGACGATGTACGTTGATGTAAACATGATTAATAGGGGAGGCTGGTCGACAGTAGCCGAAGGGTCTGAGAAGACGTTGACAGAAGCGACGTCGCAAGCGCTGGGCGCCGTTTTGATGAAGTTTCCGGCCTGCGCTGATTGCTCGATAGTATTGCGCCATGTATTGATGGTCACGACTCGCCACCACACACACTTTATCCTGCACGACTTCCTGACGAACATCAAACGGGAAAATATTGAGATCAAAATGAGATATGATCCATCAATACGGCAACGTAACGATGATCAAGATCATGTGTCCTGCACGACACCGTTCAGCATAAAGAGTTTGAGAGAATGAGCGCATTACTCGCTGTCTATTCTGCGCGCTCTTCTGGTCCTTCTCGTTTCTCTTTTGCGCATATATGTAATCGCATGCAAGCCCTGCTTCGCCGTCTTACCACCGTAGTCTCATGCCGCATGCCACTTTGGCGATGACATTCGGCGTATGTAGGTGTTTTGGCCCGAGCTGTCTCGACTCGCGACTTTGACGCGGGACTACTGCAGCTAAAATCACGCCGCATACCATGGCTGCAGTATCGCGCTTCGCTTGCGAACCAAACCATAGCGCTGAGACCATGTCCTCCCCACACCACTCCAACATGTAGTAGCGAACCACAACTCCGACATTGTTTGTTTGGGAGCCCGTGACAGCGCATGTGTTACAGCCTCGCTTGCTTACACCCCTCATCCGCCGTTTTCTTGGTCCACGTAGACGTCCGCCAAGTTCGGATACCTGAGATCGGCGTGGTCTTCTAGATGCTGCATCCAGGCTTTTAGAAACTTGGAGCCCCTGTGAATCAATCAAGTCAGCAACAATGCACGGCGCTGTGGTGTGACGAGCGTATAGAATCCTCCGCCGTATAACAGGGTGCCGAGGGACTGGTCTCGGTGTGGGTGACGAAGGGTTCCCGTGTGACAAAGCAAGGGGGCGTGTCACGGCAGTTTCGAGTTACGCGGGTTTCAGATTTGCTTGTTCGCAAAGACCACATCCCGACGCCCACGTTCTCGGGTATGACCGAAGTCCGCGACTCCGCGATGACGATGAGGTATGGGCTGTGGGACCAACAAGGAAAGCCAGTGATGCTGGGGACATGAATTGGGGATGAAGAGGGTACGTACTTGCTTATTGTGTCTGAGTCTCCGATCACACAAAGATGTCGCTTTGGGCGTGTCATTGCAACTGCGCCCTTCATCAGCACCTGCAGCCACGTGTTCATGCGTAGATATTGCGGCGAGTCGGTAGAGTAGGAGCTGACGTACCGTTGAGCCGTCTCTTCTCGCCCAAGAAGCCCACCTCATGCTCTGGATTGCTCCGTACTGTGCTGACAATGACGGCTTCCTTCTCGCGGCCTTGGAAGCCATCCACGGATCCTAGTTCGATACCAGGATACGCCTCTTTGAGCATTCCAGCAAGCAATGCGAGCTACCATTGTTAACGTTGAACCCCACAATACAAAGTTGACGCGCATTGCACACGCATGATGAGCAGGGTGGAGAGACGCGTACCTGTGCATTGTATGGCGTAACCACCGCGATGTCTTCCGCTTTAACGCCGGCTTTGATCAGATTCGCGACATGCATCTTCACCAACGCCGCTTCTGCTTCATTAGATTTGCTGTCGCCAAGACTCATGCCTTTCCCGCCCTTGCCTATCACACCCTCGTCTTCGATCTTCTCAGGAAAGTCACCACCCTGAGTGTCCCAGAAGACGAGCGGCTCTTGTGTATCTTCGGTTTCTTCGACGTCGTACTTCAAATCCTTCAGTAGACGGTCCTTGACGAAGTCTGCTGCGATAAGTTTCGAATCATATAGTTCGTCCGATGGAAATCGCATAATTTTCTCATGCATGCGATATTGCGTTGTTAGCATCCGCTTGATCGACGGTCCATGTAGAGAAAGTAGCCTGTCGAAAAGAGTTGTTTCGAGCGTCATGCCGGTAATCAGCTTGCCAGCGGGTTTCTCCGCGCTATCGTCACTCTTGCTGGCTTCCTTCTTGGCCGCTTTCGTTTGTTTCGAGTTGAGAGACTTGATAGTGGGTGGTAATTGGAGGTGGTCGCCGGCCAACACCAGCTTACTTGCCTTGACCCACAGTAAAGGCACCCAGCATTGAGCCTCCAAAGCCTGACTGGCCTCATCCACGATGACGACGTCGAACTCCTGACCTTTTAGATGGAAGCCACCCGCGCCATGCAGCGTCGCAAGAACGACCTTACTGCCGGTCACTAGGTTGTTGACACATCCCTTCTCTCGCTCTCTGTACTCTTGTCGAAGCTCCTTCAGCTCGGTGTAGATCTGACGGCGCTCTTTGGCGTTGCGTGTCTTACGGATAGACGATTGTTTGTCATCCATTTCTTTGCGAACATCCTGGACCAAGGCGGCTGCTTCTGACGTCCGCGTGAGGACGTCGAGAGAATGATTCAAGACGGATGGTAAAAGGCGTGCTGGGTGCCCGAGGCGCACCATAGGTACCTTGTGAGATGCTAGACGCTCGACAATGTTATCTACGGATATGTTCGATGGACCGCATACCAGCAAGCGAAGCTTTTGCTTGAGCAATTGGAGGATAAGCTCAATCAGAGTGTGCGTCTTGCCTGTGCCTGGGGGGCCATGAATCAGCGCAACTTCGCGTGAGGCCAGCGCAAATCTGATAGCCTCTTGTTGGCTGTCGTTGAGAGATGAGTCGTTCCACTCGAGCTTATGGAGAGGGTTCGATGGGTCATTCAAGTCTGAAGGCAGGGGCGTAGGCGATGCCTGTCCAAAGAGTACGCGCATGAAGGGAGTGTATTCTTGGTCTCCGAGCTTCTGCAGCCTGTTCATCGTTTGGTTCATCCTATCATGAATAAGTTCAGGTGAAGATTGAAACAGTGTATTCGGCCAGGACGTACCTCTTGTAGGTGACGTCGTTGGCCAATTTGACTCTAGTACATGTATCAGCCTCATTATGCCCGACACAGCCGCCCACAATGTGTAAACTAACATCCATAGCTTGCCGCCAGTAGGCACATCTGCGTCCTCTTTATCCAGTACAATTTCCACATTCTCCCTGCGTACCCTGAGAACTACGCCCGATGCGCCTTTCTTCTCGAGCTCTTTCTTTTCCGTCTTCTTCGCGCTCCCGCTGGGCTGGTCTTGAACCGCAACTATATCGCCCACACGTATGCCATGCTCAGGGATATCTGGCTTCTCGCCTTTAGCCACAACTGCCGAATCTAATCCCAGCTCGACCACGGTCTTGCCGCCCAGCCCTGTCCGTATAGAAGATATGTTAAGGTTCAGGATCGCGAGACCGGCGCGCGAGAGGGCGGTAGGCGTGTGCGACGAGAGAAGCGCGTTTGTTTCGGAGAGCTCGGCTTGAAGCTCGGCATCGAGAAGCGTGAGCTGCGAGGCGGCGAAGGACGGAATATCTGTAGGGTTCGGCATCGCTACTGGTAGTTGAGTATGTAGACGTGGGGTGGTAAGTTCGCGTCAGAGTTGATCAATTGCTGATCTCAGAAGCTTGGTTGGAATAGCAGAACCTCGCGCTACTTCAAGCAAGTTGGAACATTATAGTCGTGAAGTCGTTCGCGCGACAGTTTGCTGCTGGTCAAGGGCACCGCAATGGCTGTTGCGTATCTGCAGTGCGCGCCGACTGCGAGGATGTTTAGGCCGAACTGCTATTACGTCATGACTCTAACCCGTTTCGGATTGTCACCAGCAAACTCCACCGGCCGACGCGCAAGGAAGAAGTGAATTTATGCTGAACTCAGAGAAGACTTAATTACGCAC